GTAGTTTTCTTGTTGTTGAGATGCATGAGTTCTGAAGGGGATGGTTCGGTACATGTGTGTGGTGATGGGTTGTAGTTGGTGTTTTGGTGGTGAACATGATGTAATCTGTGCAGAAGTAGAGGTGTAGTGATGTACACCTGAAATTTTTACAATGTTGTAAACCAATGTTACTGCAATAAACAAAAAATTAAAAAAAATAAAATAAAATAAATTAACATATTGTACACTAAAAAAGAAAAGAAAAAAAACAAAACAAAACCATCTGTTGTTCTTAGCCAGAAAGCATATGTCTAATATGGGAAGGAAGGATCTAGGAGTCTCACAGAATATGCTAGTACTCTTTCTGTCTTCTTTGATATTTTTTGATTGCCTTTATCCTTGAAATTATTAGTAAAACTTGATATTGGGTAAAATATCTGATTTGTAGAGGTCTGTTCTTATAATCCAATCCCTTGTGTTACCTCAATCTCTCAAACATAAGATTGAATGAAAGAGGCTAGACACAAAAGAGCACATATTTTGGTACGCTTCCACTCATATAAAATTCAAAAAGAGAAAATATTAATTAATGTTGCTATGAACTAGAATAAATAAATGAATCTGGCCTTAGGTTTTCCACAGAAACATCAATGCTGTGGAAAACATCACCCCCAAAAAATGTGATCCAAGAATCGTGTACTCTGACAGTCATTTCAGTATGAAGACCACAGACAATTAGTTTGGAACATGAAAATACTCAGGGAGTATTATTCCCAGAAGCCCTTCTTTTAAATGGATAGATAGAAACAAGTATTTCATAAAAGAAATGTAAATGGCCAATACATGTAGACTTGTTAGCTATCAGGGATATGTAAAAATGAAAGTGAGAAACCATCTTTTGACCATCAGATTGGCAAATATTCTAAATACTGATAATATCAAAGATTGGCAAGGATATATAAGCATTTCTATAACACTCTTGGGGATAGTCACACACCTGAAGCTTTTGAAAGGTGTCTATCAAAATGCAAATGTACGTAATCCTTAAACAGCAATTCCACTACCAAGAAGTTACCATAAAGAAGTATCTTTGTGCACAGTTATATGTATAAAGAGATTACAGGAGCATTGTTTATAACAGTAAATACTGGAAACAATTTAAATGTCCTTTAGTAGAAAAATAAGTAAATTAATTTTGGTCTTTTGGTCTAATGGATATAAAGGGAAACTGCATCAGAAAGGACCCTGTACCAATCAAGAGAAGGTCAAGCTCTGCTTTCTTTCCAAGAGAGTCTCACAATCTTCAAGTTTTCTTCTCTCTCTCTACCTTCTCCTTCCACTTTTCCTTCTCCTCCCCTACTCCTTCCCCCACACAAATACACTCCAGAAAACTCTGTATATACTTCTTTTGACCATGATTGTGTCTTAGTAAACAATTTGTAGCCAGGTTTCAGTCTGGGCCACCTGGAGATAAGAACAAGTGTAAAAGTCATTTTTCCTGGCAGAGGTGAGTCAGCTCTAACCCTCCAAACATGCAGGAGAGAATTCTATAGCATAGGCTACCTGGTTAAACCTACCTTCACATCGAAACACTTCACATTCCTTGAAGGAAATACTATCGCATTGAGGTAATCCAAGTTTTTTACTTGTATTTGAGTGTATATACATATATTTTTCCTGTAGATCTATGTTGAATTCAGAATTCCTTTGCCATGGCTTTGCTTTTCCTACAGGAAACAACATAGATGGTGTGCATGGTCTTATTTCACATTCCAAAATTTCAGTCTCTTGAAAGGCAAAAAGCTTAATGGAAACTTCGTTTTCTGCCTGGTAACTCTTCTGCATAAATGCCCCAATGACATGATCTCCACTATAAATCACTGTCACAGTAGGTCCTTGGTCAGAGCATATCTGGAGCAAAACTTGAGGAGAGAATTCATGGTCACTAGCTTTATAGAGAAGACTAAACTGCTTTCCTCCAAAGTGATTCTGCAGACTCTTCTCTTGCACCCACGTCAAACGAGTTGTCACTGTCATACTTCTAAATCTAGGGGAAAGTCAAATACATTATCTGCTAAATATTGAAAAATAGATAATATATTCTGTCTCAAAGCTTGTATTTATGCCTCTTCTTTACATTACACATGAAATGAGTAAATAGAGGGTAAATAGATAAGAAAAATCATTAGCTAGTTTTTTATTCTAAATGATTATTTAAAAAAAATTTTTTTTTAAGACTATCATTTGCAAGTGGCTAGGAAAAGTAAAAAGGAGCAAATCATTTACCCGTTTGTAGAATCTGCACAAGGGCTGAAGCTGAGGGTAGCTGTTCTGTCTGGACAGCTAGGCAGGCACAAAGTGGGAGCAGAGAATTCTTCAGCAGCCTTGAGGTTTCAGAGCTTCCAAGAAAAGGAAACTGAAACTCACTACGGCTCAGCCCAATTGGCAGTGTGCCAACTTCTCTCTGTAGCGGGAGCATAAATTTATCCAATTAATTTAACTTAATTTTTTTTAACAGAAGTATAGTTGACATACAATATTATGTTAGTTTCAGGTGTGCATCATAGTGATTTGATATTTATATACATTTATAACCATAGAAATTTATTACAATATTATTGACTGTACTCCCTATGCTGTATATTATATCCCAGTGACTTATTTATTTTATAACTGAAAGTTTGTACCTCTTAATCCTCTTCTGCTATTTCATCAAACTCCCCATCCCCCTGCCACCTGACAACCACCAGTTTGTTCTCTGTGTGGGTCTGTTTCTGTTTTGTTTTGTTTGCTCGTTTGTTTTGTTAGATTGTTGTTAGATTCCACAATGTTAGATAGTAACATATAAAAATAATATTGAGAGAAACAAGGAATTAAAGTCAGAGGGAAGAAAACCTAACAGCTCACTACATTTTTTTAAGTGACTCTTTAAAAGACTTATTTTTAAGAAAAATTCAATAAGTTTCTGTATATGACATATAAAAGAGTGCTGTCTATCCTAACTCCAGAACATATGTTTCAAATTCATCCGCTTCTCTTGATCTCTGCTGTCAATTTATTCTAAACCAACATATTTCCTTGTTAAAAATGTTAAAATATTTCCTTGTTAAAACTGTTAAAATGATCTCCTAATTGGTCTCGCTGCTTTTCGGCTTGCCCCCTCTCCAATTCATTCTCCTCAACACAGACAAAATCAACTCCCTTTGTAAAATGTAAACCAAATCCTGTCAATTTCACACTAAAACCCCTTCTCTGACTTCGCATTGCTGGGAGTCACAAACCTGAGTCCAATAGGCTGAATTCAACTTGTAGATTTGTTTTGTAGGGCCAACACAGTTCCTTTTCTTTTTTGTTTTGAATTTCAAATTTGAATGCTTTTATATCATTGGACATCTGCTCTTCAGTTCCCAATTGTCCTCACAAATCCCCTGTTCCTGATTCTGACAAATTTAAATTACCTACTTGGCCCAAAAAGGAATTTAAGTTTTTGACTGTATTAAAAAACAACAGCAACATCAAATAAAAATATTTTAATCAGCCTTTAGGTATTACTTACCTAGATAAAAAAAATACCAGAAGTTATTATATGCTTATTATTTGCTAGGCATTTTCCATCTATCTCATTTATTCATTTCAATAACCTTATGATAAAAATACCAATATTATCTCCATTTATCATATAAATAAACAGAATTTTGAAGTTAAATAATTTGCCAAAGATCACTCCACTAGTAAATTGCAGAGCCAAGGTTTGAACTATAGTCTATGTGAAAACAGAGGGATGATGGTTTCACAGGTACCTACATTTGTCAAAACAGATTGAGTTGTATACTTTCAACATGTGTGGTTGAATGTATCTCAACTACACTTTACTATATCTGTTTAAAAAAAAGGCCAAACTTTCCAAACAATCTATTATCCTGTTTTTCCTGTGTTGTAAGGAAATTTGTAATACCATTAAACTGCCTGGCCACTGTTTAAGGGCAATGACATATATAAACATATTTAAGTAATGTATTTCATTAATATGAAGATGAAAGTAAGAAAATAACATCTAAAAGATCACTGACCTTCCACTTGAACAGAAGCTGCTTCCCCAAAGTCATTAATATCTGTTAACTCCAGTGTCTCTAGCTATGCAAGGTAAGCTTCCTATTTGGGTTGTGAACTGTTTCTTTCATTCATTCTTTCTTTCAGTAAATATTTATTGAATAGCTACTACGAGCCTCCACAGTTCTGGAGACTAGAGAGATAGCAGTAAACAAGATAGGTAAAGTTCTACCCTCCTGAAGCTAAGTTCTTCTCTGGAAAGCAGGCAATCGACATAAATGTCACCTGGAGAAAAGTGCTCAGGAAAATAAATTAGAATGAGAGGAAAGTAAATTAGAATAAGAGGAAAAGGAGTGATGAGGGAAGGTCTCTGCCACTTTAGACTGCATGATGGGAGAAGGTCTATCTGATGAGATGACATTGGAGAAGAGACCTAACAGAGTGAGGGAGAGTGCCATGGAAATATCTAGAGAAAGGGCATTGTAGGCAGAGAGAAAAGCAAACGCAAACAACCTTGGATGGCAGTTTGTTGCAAGAGGAGGCCAGGATGTCATGTAGGTTCGGAGGAGAACAATGTCAGTGCTCACTCTGGCAAGAGGCAGAGTATAGGACAGCTAGAAGGCTCTTGCAATGTCAGGTGAGAGATGAAGGTCAAGTAGACTAGAGTGAGAATGGTGCAAGTAGTGAAAAGTGATCAGAATCAGGACGTCTTTAAGAATGAAAGAAAGTCAAGAGAACTTATTGCTGGACTGGATGGAGTGGGGAGGGGGCAGGGATGAAGGAAAAGGTAGAACTTAGTATGACTCCAAGGATTTATGGCTTGAGCACTGGGTAACTGTATATGGAGCTGTACAACTGGGAGCTGTATATGGAGATGAGTACACTGGAAGAAGATTTCTTGAGGGGAAACCAAGTATTCTGTCTCATACTGAAATCTATAAGTGCATACATAATATAGGTAGGTGAGTGTATGAGATCAGGGAGTAGAGAAGGGGATCAGGGTTGGACATTAAATTTGAGAGTTATCAGCATATAGACACATTTAAAGCTAAGAGTGAGTTTCAATTAATCAGACCAGTCCTATGGACCAAGCCCTGCCCCTGCCCCCAAAATTTAGAGGTCATAATTATTAAAAGGCTCTATCCAAAAAGACTAAGGAAATGTGACTGGAAAAGTAGAGGCAAGCCAAAAGAGTGAGTCCTCCCAGGAGCCAACTGAAGAAGGAGGACGTGATCAACTGCATCAAATGATGGGGCTCTTTCCTTCAAGGACTCCCCCATTTACACATCTAGAAAGACTGGCTCTCTTTCTGAGGAGCTGGGAATTTGAGGGATGGTCTTGTCTCACTGTGGGGAGAGGCATTTGGGTGGTGGTAGCAATCTCCCTGTGATGAAAATGCTGGGAAGTGCTAGACGTGAGAATGTAGCTCTGCTGCAAAAAAGGAGTAAAACTTCAGAGCTAACTCCACAGAGCTGAGAAACACACTGCAGTCTGGTGCTGACAAGCATCCGAGGGTGGCCTCCCGCCCTGGCCACAATGAATCTTCGAGGGTGAGCAGTTCCATTTCTCTGTTTTCATGCTCTGTGAAGAGGTCACCTTGCCAAATCCCCTTTTGTTTTTCTCATCAGAGTCAACTGCTTTATAGGCTGCTGGAGGTAAGGAAGACTTTGAAACTGACTCCAGCAGAGAAACACGGGAAGATTTCTGAAAATTGTGATAGAGGAGAGGCAGTCTCAAGCAGAGAACACTGGTAATACGTCAGGCTTTCAGAGATCAGTAAGTGTTAAGCACAGTGTCACCACCATCTGAACACCTTCTATAGTCAGATCCTACTGCTTCCCGACAGGCTCAAAAGAGCAGGAGATCCTCTCTTTTTCCATCCTGAAGACTGCCTCAGGCACTCCGACTGGAGCAGGGGGTCTAACATGGTATAGCAAACAGCTGTCAGTTCAATAAGAAAACTGGGAGTCTTAGGGTAATATTTGACAAATTCTCTGTATCTTTGATTGAACTGAAACAAACAAGGCTTAGCTCCTTAATAATAAATAAACAAGACACGGAGATGGGAAGAGAGATCATTTGTTAGTCTATACTTACCTCATATTCTTTCAAGAGATACTGTAGAATTAGTATATATTGAGACACAATTTCAAACTTGCCCCCACCCCCCCCACACACAAATAATCCAATAACTTAGGTAGCCTCTGCTCATAAATTCTGTCATTTGAATAAACCAGCACCTTCTAGAAATTGATATTCTCGGCTCTCTTTTCCTTGAGACTTTGAAAAACACAGATGCTCCGTATGAGCTCAGAGGTGTGATATGTCCCATCTAAAGACTTGTAATGGGGTTCCTCCTTCCATATTTCCACTGGTCTTTTCAGTGTTAAGGACCAACCCTCTATGTTGGGAGCATTCAGAGTGTGTCAGGTCTGTAAAAAGTGGGTCTGCTGTTCAGCCAGCCTTAGCTAAATTTCAGAACAAAGGTAGATCTTTCTGTTGGATAATGTATAGATGACAGTCAGATCATTATTAATGAAAGACCCACGGGCCACATTGACAAGACTAACAAATAACATTTCTTCCCTACCAAGTGAGCTGTGGGGCTTCCTCAAATGGGGATGAAGACTTTGGCCATGTTGCCTGGCCTTCAGGCAGTGTCCTAGCCCCAACTCTGTCAAGTGGTACTCATAGTTCCCCCTATGCTGACCACACCCTTCCCCTGGTACCTCCAACTCTGTTCCTTTCTCATACTTCTACCAGAGCTTTGTCCAATTTCTCTTCCCTCTTCCTTCTCAGGATGGGTGACTATCTTGTAATTTCTATAGAAATGGGAAAGGAGACAGCTTTCCCTCTATTACCTTTTTAATCCATAGCAATTCCATAAATTCAGTATTCAGATTCTTTCATGGGGGCTAGACTCCCAAGAGTCTACTCTGGAAGTAAAAAGTAGGAATATGCTTCAGGGATTTTTTCACTTTCTGATTTAAACAGTCTTCTCAGGAGGACGTTGTAAGTGACTCTGGGAAATGGGGGAAGAACTATATACAAAGTACAGAAAAAAATATCAAAATTGTTATTTTAAGATGTTTTCTAGCTATATGTGGTATCCATTTGAAATATCTGAAATCCTATCTTGCAGATAAATTACTTTTTTTCCTCCGTGAGCTCTTCAGTTGTGGGGATTTGGAAATCCCCTCTCTATAAATCTAACACTGAGAACAGAACCACTGATTATCTACCAGGCAGAACAGGGTCTCATACACTCAGAACACCATAAATATAGTGACCTTGGTATGCTTGTTTAATTGTAGTAGTCCATTCACATTCGAAATACTTCCGCAATACGACACCAAAATGGAAGACAAATGAGCTCAGAGGCTTAAATATATATTTCCTTGCATTTTTCTTTTCATCAGATGAGGATTATCATAAAATGTGCAATAGAAATCAGCTGTTTAAAAACCAAAAAGAATTGTGATTATTTACACATCGTTGTTTAGCACGGCTTGTTAGTCTTCTTCCCTACCCCACCCCATTCCTGCAATCTCTACTTGCAGTTTTGCTTACACTGTCCTTTCTGTCCTGAAGCCTGGAACAGCTTGAATCTATTTGTGTGAGCTGTGTTGGAGAAAGAGGTAGGGGGCATCCTCAGGATGTTGGCTATAATCCTACCTTTATTGTCTGTCTGACCCCAGTGGCTTGCATTTTCTCCAACATCACAGTACGATTTTGCAAGAGTTGCAACTGGTATGCAAGTTTCCATCTTACTTAGACTGATGTCAAAAATCAAATCTACTTAATCTACTCCTCCATAACCTGGCCCAGATACTCATCACATGAGGGATGGCATTTGGGGACTTTCAAATTCCCACAGCTTTTAGGGACACCATGAAGACTTCGATCAGTCTTGCCATCATGTGGCTACTTTAGCATTAGATTGAGTTTTGTCCCTAAAAGATGACTACTCATCAGCTGGTCTCTGAAGATTCTGGGGCCTACTTGGGTCCCCCAATCAATTTTGTCATTTTAGTTATGGACCTGCCTTTTTTAGGAAGAAGCAATATAATCATCTTTAAAGTTAGTTTTCTAAAGAAAATAGGCTTACATATTATCCACCACAAGTACCCCTCTTGGTATTTCATTAAGTTGGAAGCTGGTGAGTTTGTACAATGCTACAAACTTCTAACAGAAACAGTCACTTTTTTTTTTAACTTTCTTTTCAGCTTTATTAAGATACAATTGACATATAACATTGTGTAAGTTTAAGGTGTTCAACATGATGATTTGATACACATATACGTTGCAAAATGATTACCACAATAAGGTTACTTAACACCCCCATCACCTCAAATAATTACTGTTTTTATATGTGTGGTGAAAAAAATTAAGATCTATTCTCAGCAACTTTCAAGTATATAGTATTGTGTTATTAACTATAATCACCATGCTGCACGTTAGATCCCCAGAACTTATTCCTCTTATAACCGGAAATTTGTACCCTTTGACCAACATCTCCCTATTTCCCCTACCCCCCAGCCCCTGGCAATCACCACTCTACTTTATTTCTATGAGTTCAGCTTTTTTAGATTCCACATATAAGTGAGATCATACAGTATTTGTCTTTCTCTGTCTGACTTATTTCACTTAGCAGAATGATCTCAAGGTCCTTCCATGTCATGATTTCCTTCTTTTTGTGGCTGAATTATATATATATATACATACATATATATACACACCACATTTTCTTTATCCATTCATCTGCCGATGGGCACTTAGGTTGAAGAACGGTCATTTTTTAATGCACAACTCAACCCACTCACTCACCTTGCAAAGGCTCTAGCGTTGATACTTAATCTATCTCTACAACATCCCTCCCACTTTACGATGATATTCTACCTCCCACAACACTTAAGTTTCATCCACTAAGTCCCTTAGCACTATTTTGCTAAGAAATATTTTAACGTCTTTGGCTGGACTGTACATCTAGCTCAGTTGTAAATTATGTAAAGTTTAAAAAATCCTGGATGGCCTCTAAAATGTGACAAAGTGCTAAGTCCCACTATCTCTCAGGATGGTAGAGAAAGATCAGTGGAACCCACAAATTCAGGGAAGGTCATCTCTCCAGTGAAAGAAAAGTTTCTCCCTTTTTGAGGCCCTTCTCACCAATCTTTTCCAACCTAGATTCCAAATATACCTTTAACTCCATTGGATATTTAAGTGTTCTCAAAGTAGTATAGAGCCAGAAGATTAGGAGTTGTGACATCATTTATCTAATACCGTCCTTTTTAGTACAAAAGGGAGAATTTAGCCTCAATACTTATGCTCTCTAACAATGTTGGTTCACCTGAACAGCCCCTCATTGTTTCTCTCTCTTGATCTCTCTATTACTCCTCTTCTTTCTTTCAGGGTCTCCATCTCCTTCATAAGTGTGCTCCATGCTACCCCTTTCAAATAGAGTATAGACGCTCCACCTTGAATCTAACTTTGCATCTAGCAAACCCTCCCTCTGCCCAGATTTTTGCTGGCTCCATCCTGGAGATGGATGAGTTATGGCCCAGTAGTGGGTGAGGACAATGATGGGCCTTCAGTCACCTTTAGTCTCTCCCAAGCAACAATGGTTGTGGCTTGTATTCTCCCTGGATTACATGGAGATAAACACACTTTACTTTTGGGACCTGTTGCTCCCTACATCCATACCATAACCATTCTGGCTGTCACTCTGCTTTTGTTCTCAATGTCTACTTTTGGCTCTTTTCCTCGATACCTATGACCATTCTATTCCTAGATCTTTTTCAAAGATCCCGTCCATCTCTTCCATTGAATCATCGCTCTTGAACATTCATTTGAGCACAGCTTCACCTGCAGCTTTGCTTTAGGAAATATTCCTTTTTCCATAACTATTCCTAAGATATTCTTGCCCTTGTAATTCCCAGGACTTCCCAAAGAAGACAATAATTTTGATTAAAAATAAATTAAACTGTTGTAATATAGATAACTATTGAACCAACGCATATTCATTGAAAAAGACTAAGAAATCTGGAGAAGAAAGTTAAAAAGGCTTTAGAGAAAAAAGAAACCTGAAAACTATCTTCTGGGATTCCTTTTTTCTTTATTAATAGTCTTAACTTTGACAGCTACCCAGAGGACTTTAGAATCATTGGGGAGAACTTTCATACAATGCTTCTTATTGACTGGCACTAGTAACCTATTTGATCACTCTACTTTGGAGACATGGCTAGGATGGTTTGGAATTCAATTAATGAAAATCAGGCATGGATTCATTAGAGGAAGAAACTGTATTTTCTCGCAAAATAAAGTGTAAGTTATTAAGAAGTATTAGCTCTTTTTAATTGACTTAAATTTGTATTTTCATCCAGAGATAAGTGAAACATTCTCTCCTTTATTTCCATTTCTTCTCTCCAGCATTCCATTCTCTCTCAGTCTTCCTTTCTATAAGAAGACAAATTTTAAGTACGTGTTATCATTCTGGGGAGGGTGGGAGGGATGCTTAATGGCAGGGGTGCTTGCTTCCTGCCAGGTGCTGTGCTAACGTCTGTGAATACAAAGATAAGTAAAATCCAAACCCTGCTTCTCAAAGAACTCACAATCTATCTAGAGAATCTGATATCTATATATCATTTTATAATCTTATTCAATGTTATTAGTACTCACATAGAGTTTTACATAAAATGCTATAGAAGAATAAGTAAGGGAATAGTTGATTTTGCTAGGGAGGTTTAGAAAACTGTCACAGAAACTAAATTGTAAATGGTGCAGAAATATGGAAAGTGGTTTGTGGTAGGGCATATCTTGAACCACCACTACTTAGGGTTGGCCTTTGGGCTTGAGGTATGACTGATCCTAGAAGGAACCATCAGTTAGATGCTGTCAGGGACAGAAGGCAAAACATGAATGAAAGCAGAGTCTCAAGGAGGCTGTCAGCAGAGATCATCTCTAACTGGGTGTGCCAATCCTGGTTTGGTCAAAGCGTTGGAATCAAGGCAATTGATGTCATACGCAGAGTTGGAACTTTCATGAGATTTCATCTGAAAACCAAACAAAAAAGAGTAGAAATGAAGCACACATGCTAACCTGACTGTCAGAACTACGGCAGGCAGATGGGCACCAGCCATCCAACTAAAGTATAACTTAGTGTTTCTCAAAAAGCACTAGTGAAAGAAAGGGGCTAAATTACCTGTTTTCTCAAGAGGCAAATCCTCTAAGAAGTCATCTGCAGCCCGTAACATCTGCCTCAGCATAGAGAGGATCAGAATGTCCTTTAATGGGTTCAGCTTGCACTCTGAAGCATAATTTTCAACCATCAAAATATTAGAAATAGGAATGTTTAGCATTTTGTTGACATTCATTATCTGTGAAAAAGCAAATTTAATAAGCATGAGTCTTATATCTGAAATTTGACTGAATTTAAACATAATTCAAGAAAGAGACCAAAAAAGCAATAGCTTGATAAACTCCCTCCCAAATATAATTGTAACTCAGATAATTATTGTTTTGAAGTGGGTAAACTTGAATTAACTGGGCAATTGATCCGTTTCTTCATTACATGTAAGTACGTAGTGTGAGCACACACATACACACAGTATGACACTGTTACAATAATATCTGGTTACAAACAGTATTCCTTACCTGGCTTTGAGAAGTTGTAGATTGATTCATGTTTAAAAAGTCATCTTGAAGAACTTCATCATAATTATTCACTTTAGTAAGCAAGGCTACATATGCTATACCTATAACAAGTAGATAAATCAGTTATTTTATGTCATAAATAGCAATGTGTCAACAAGGGTAATTAAATATGTATGAAAGCAGCTCTCTGTAGGCTGATTTTAAGATTTGGAGAATGAAATATCCCCAGTAAACCTCAATACGGAATCTGAAGTTTATCTAATAGAAAAAATGATCTTTTCTCCCAAAGTGAGAGATAGTTTCTAAATGCAACTAAATTCACACTTAGTTGCAATTATCTACTGTTCCATTCAAATATTGTGTTTTAAAGTGGTCAAGGGGGAAAAATGTGGTTGCTGGACCTTGGGAACTGAAAAAGAACCCCAAGAAAGAGAGAAAATGAGAAGGATTGTATATGAACATATAGAAAAGCAAAGTATACTGATTTCACAGTTCTACTAAGGACCTCTTGCCTTCTCCCTCCAACCACAGAGACCAGATGAGTAAATCACACTGACCAGATAACAGAATCAAAGTTCTGCTTCACTAACAACTGCTTCCCCAGGAAAAAATATTATAAAATTGAGATTTCCAAAATCTGGTCAAGGACATCCCTGAGACTCTTTTACCAGAGCTTTTAGTATTTCCCCCTAACAGAAATCTTGTGTTTGTGATTCTTATTACTAAATGATTGCCTTTACAATCTTCTCTTCCTTCAACTCCCAGAGAAACAACTAGCAAAGTTGGCCAATTAACACCTGGCCTCTGGTAGAGGGCAGTTCTCAACTGACATGTAATTTTTTTCAACTTCTGTTACAATGTAATTTTTCTCTTTCAAAATTAATGCAATGTCTTCTTAAAGGTCCTAAGTCAGTACAGTTAGATGCATTAAGCGTTGCCACCCAGCATGATGTGTAGCCATATGTCCGTGAAAAGCTCATTTCATATCTTGGCCCTTCTGTAACTAAGTCTTATCCCAAACCCACCATAATTTTAGAGCTGTTAAATCTTTATATATGCTTATATATTTACACTGAGTATATCTAATGTTTATTACAATCTTTAGATGCAGAACTATTGTTCCTATTTTATAGAAGAGGAAACTGAAGTTCAGTGCACTTAACTTTCTCGAGATCAAAATTTATGATTATTAAAAAATCTAGGTTTACTTAACCACTAAGACCATGCTCAGTACATTAATAGCACAGATTTTTCAGAACCTTAATATAAGCTGTCTTCATATTGATACTAAACAATGAGGCTTTAGAGTATAAATGCCCAAACAATTCTTTACACTAGACGTTTTTGGAAGTTTAATGAGAGGACTTCCAGTTTTGGACCAAATGGAGTAGATACACATTTTCTTATTCTTCCTGCTAAGTACAGCTAAAAACACTGAACATTCTAAACAAATCAGATGCAAAGATTGAAAGGTGGAGAGAAGGCAGCAGACTGGCTAGGGACCTTGGGCCCCAAGGAACACTGTGGGGGGGGGGGTGTTCTCTAGGGTTTCCTCTTACTTTATATATCCCATATTGGCTGCTGGAGACGCCCGCAACTAGGAAACGCCAACTGGAGCTGGTGACAAGAAAAGAAAGGAACGGAAAGGAAATGGCAGAGCAGAAAGGAAAGGGAAGAGAAGAGAAGGGGAGGGAAGGGAAGGGAAAGAAGGAAGGGGAGGGAGAGGAAGGGTAGCAAAGGGAAGGGAAGAAAGGAAGAGAAGAGAAGGGAAAGGGGAAGAGAAGAAAGTCTGTTCTCTCTAGCCAAAGCATGAGAAAAGGTGCAACCTAGAAAGACATAAAACTTTCACACAACAGCCACACTATCCCATCCAAACACCACAGAAATAATCTCAGTCCCACTCCTGGAAGTGTCTCTTCCCGTCTCCAACCTCCACCCCTTCCAGGACGGTATCATAGAAGAAGGACAAGTATGAAGCCAGGACTTTTATACCTGCACTGTGCTAGGTCCCCCTTGATGGTGTCAATGAAGGCTACTTGGGGATCCCAGATATACACTGCAACCGACAGTAATGAGGTACCTCTCTTCCTCTCTACCAGTGTCAGAGGAAGCCAAGTGAGAAACTGAAACTTTAACCACCATTCACCCACCCTTAAAGAGGCTCCTACTTCCCTGTGGTATCAGTGAAGGCCATATGGGGAGTAATAACAAAGTGCTTCCCCCCAAGAGGTGTCACACAAGGCCTACCGGGGAACCTGTACTTTCACTCCCACAAGCACAGTGTCAGAAAAGCTCTGCTAAAACACAGAGTCTTGTAGTATAATACCCATATATCCAAGATATAATCAAAAATCACTTATACCAAAAACCGAGAATATCTAATCTAATTGACATTTGTAGAACATGGCACCAAAAATCAGCAGCATACATATTATTTTCAAGCACTCATGGAACATTTACCAAGACATACTACATCCTGAGCCATCAATCAAACTTCAAAAAATTTTAAAGAATTTAAATCAGAGTGTCTCCTTTGACCACAATGGAATCAAACTAGAAGTCAATAACAGAATGGTAACAGAAAAAACTCCAAGTACATGAAAGCTAAACAATACACTCTAAACAATTCATGAGTCAAAGAGGAAGTCTCAAGGGAAATAAAAAATACATTAAACTGGATGATAATGAAAACACAACATATCAAAATTTGTGGGACATAACTAAAGCAGCGCTGACAGGAAAATATGTAGCGCTCAATGCTTATAATAGACAAGAGGAAAAGTCCAAAATCAATAATCTAAATTCCCACCTCAAGAAACTAGAAAAAAGAAGACCAAATTATACCCAAATCAAGGAGATGAAAGAAATCATAAATAGCAGACATCAATAAATAAATTGAAAACACACAATCTAAAATATCAATGAAACAAAAACATGGTTCCTAGAAAATATCAATAAAATTGACAAACCTTTAGAAATACTGATGAAGAAAAATGAAAGAAAAGACCCAAATCCCCAATATCAGGAATGACAGAGGGGATATCCCGATAGACCCCACAGACATAAAAAGGATAATCAAGAATGCTGTGAACAACTCTACACAAAAAATTTGACAACTTAGTGTAACAGACTAAAACTAAAAACTATAAATTACCACAACTCACCTAATATGATATAGATAATTTTAATAGCTCTATAACTACTATAAAATTTAAGTTTTGGTTTTAAAAACTCCTGAAAAAGAAATCTCCAGGCCCAGATGGCTCCATTGGAGAATTCTACCAAACATTTAAAAAAAAATTAAGATCATGGGGGCTGCCGGTGGTGTAGCAGTTAAGTGTGCATGCTCCGCTGCAGCAGCCCATAGGTTCGCAGGTTCGGATCCCGGGCACGCACTCATGCACCACTTGTCAAGCCATGCTGTGGCGGCATCCCATATAAAGTAGAGGAAGATGGGCACAGATGTTAGCCCAGGGCCAGTCTTCCTCAGCAAAAAGAGGAGGATTGGCATTGGATGTTAGCTCAGGGCTGATCTTCCTCACAAAAAAAAAATGAAATTAACCTCAATACTACACAATCTCTTCCAGAAAACGGAAGAGGAAGGAACACTTCCCAACTCGTTTTATGAATCCAGTATTACCCTGATACCAAAACTTTACAAAGACAGTAGGGGGAAAAAAAAGAAAACTACAGACCAATATCCCTCATAAATATAGATGCAAAAATTCTTAATAAAATATTATCACATAGAATTCAGCAATATATAAAAAAATATATGCCGTGAATACATGAGTTTTATTCTAAGGAGACAAGGATGGCTCAAGATTCAAAAATCAATCAATGTAATTAATCATAACAACAAGATAAAAAGGAAAAAAATCCCATGATCATATCAATCTATGGAAGAAGACTATTTGACAAAATTCAATACCTATTCAGGATTAAAAAAGAAAAACCTCTCAGAGAACTAGGAATAATGAATAATTTCCTCAACTTGATAAAGTACAACTATAAAAAACCCATGGCTAACATCATAATGGGGAAACACTGAATACTTTCCCGCCTTAGATCAGAAGTAAGACATGAGTGTCTGCTCTCGTCACTATTATTCAACATAGTCTTGGAAGTCCTAGACAGGACAGTAAAACAAGAAAAGGAAATGAAAGGCAGACAAATTGAAAAGGAAGAAATTGTCCCTATTTGAGATGGCATGAAAATCTCTATGAATCAAGAAAAATTTTCCCAGGACGAGTAAGTGAGCTCAGTAAGGTCACAGGAAATAGGATCTACATACAAAAGTCTATTGTAAATTTTATACTAGCAATAAGCATGTGGAAACCAAAATTATAAATATGATAGCATTTATAAGCATTCAAAAAAAGTAAATACTCAGGTGTAAATCTAATAAAACATGTATAGGGCTTGGATGCTGAAAACTGCAGAACACTGATGAAAGAAATCAAAGGTGTAAATAAAGAGAGAGACATAGTACATTCATGGATTGGAAGACTCAGCATAGGAAAGATGTCGATTCCCCCAAAATTGATTTACAGGTTTAATGTAATTACTACCAATATCTCATCAAGATTTTCTGTAGAAATAGACAAGGTAATTCTAAAATTCCCACGGAAATGCAAAGAAACTAGAAGAGCTAAAACAATTTTGACAAATAAGAATAAAGTAGGCGGAATCATTTTACCCAACTTAAGGCCTACTATATTATTATAAGCTACAGTAATAAAAACTGTGTGGTATTGGTGGAGTTTATTCTCATGGATCAATGGAACAGAACAGAGAACTCAGAAATAGACACCACAAGTAAAGATAACTGATTTTTGACAATGAAGCACGAACAATTCAATGGAGAAATGATAGTCTTTTTAACAAATGGTGCTTGAGCTATTGGATATTAATAGGCAAAAATAAAATGAACTTTGACCTAAACCTCACATTTTATACAGAAATTAATTCAAAATGGATCATATATTTAAATGTGAAACATAACACTATAAACTTTTTAGAAGAAAACATAGAAAAAATTGGGGTACCTAAAGCTTGGTGAAGAATTTTTAGACACAAATGAAAAGCATGATCCTTAAAAGAAAAAATTGATAAATTGGAGGTCACCAAAACTTTTTAAATTTTGTTTTGTGAAAGGCTCTGTTAAGATAATGAAAAGACAGCTATGCACTGGGAGAAACTATTTGCAAACCATGTATCTGAAAATTGACTCCTATCTAGAATTTATAGATCTCTTAAAAATCAATAGTAAAAAACCAAACAGTCCAATTAGAAAATAGGCCAAAGGCATGAAGAGAAATTTCATCGAAGAAGATATACAGAAGCAAATAAGCAAATGAAAAGATGTTCAATGTAATTAGTCATCAGTGCAATGCAAATTAAGATCATGATGAGCTATCTCTGCACACCTATCAGAAGAGTTAACATTTTTACAAAAAGCAATAATGCCAAATACTAACAAGAATGCAGAGAAACTGGCTCTCTCATATATTGCTGGTGGGAATAAAAAATGTGGAGTCATTCTGGAGAGTAGTTTGGTGGTTTCTTAAAAATTAAATATATACTTACCATAGCATCCAACAATCACAGTGCTGGAAAATTACCCCAGGAGAAAGAAAACTTATGTCTACACAAAAAACTTGTACACCAATGTTCGTAGGAGCTTTATTTTCCAGAGCCCAAAACTAAAAGTAATCAAAATGTCGTTTGATAGAGAATGGTTAAACAAATTGTGGTATATCTATACCATGGAATACTACTCAATAATAAAAAGGAATGAACAATTGATACACACAACAACTTTGATGGACCTCAAAGAATATTAGGCTGAGTGAAAAAAGTCAGTCTCAAAAGGTGACGTACTGTATGACTCCATTTATATAACATTGTCAAAATGGCAAAATTATGGAAATGGAGATTAGTGATGGCCAAGAATTAGAGATGGTGGGGGATTAGGGGGTACCATGAGGGAGATTTCTGTAGTGATGAAATCGTTATGTACGTTGATCGCAACAGTGCTTCCACGAATCTAAACATGGTAAAATGACATAGAGCTATACATACACATTATAACAGTGTCAATTTCCCGGTTTTGATCTAGTCACATAATACGGCGAGGTGACTCCCCTATCAAACCGCAGGAAAATCACGCATGACAAAAAACTATGGCCATTCTAATTCTTAAGGACTGAAGACTAGGATTTAGGGCCTTTCCTTCAGTCAAGCTGTGGATGATCTCTGCCTGCTCGTGCCACCAACCCACCTAGGGCTCAGGAAATTGGATGAAGGGTACATGGGACCTCTCCATACTCTCCTTGCAACTTCCTGTGAATCTGTAATTACTTTAAAATAAAAACTTTTTCATAAATACAATGAGACTCACCAAAGTTTAATACTTCTTTGTGAATTTGTTTGAACTTCGCCACCATTTTAGAGGAGAGATTGTTGACAGAGTTGATATCTAAGACATAAGCCACACAGTGAATTCTGTCCTTCAGTGATGGAGAGGTGATGAAAGCAGGATGCCTGGGTGTAATTGGTTTATGGGGACTAAACTGTTATAGAGACATAAGGTAACATTTAGAGAGTTTCTGCTGAATTCTTTCAGACACAATTCATGCTTCAAACGTGACCACCACTAACCTCCAACCCAAAACTTTCCCTCCCCCTAGCTACTCCTTCCCAGATTAGTTAATAGTACTCCTTAACATACTTCTCCACTGCAAGCATAATGCCATTATATCTTTTTTTTCTTTTTGGTGGGGAAAGATTAGCCCCGAGCTAACATCTGTTGCCAATCCTCCTCTTTTTGCTGAGGAAGATTGGCCCTGGGCTAACATCCGTGCCCATCTTCCTCTACTTTATATGGGACGCCACCACAGCGTGGCTTGATAAGCAGTGTGTTCGTCCGTGCCCAGGATCCAAACCTGCAAACCCGGGGCTGCCAAAGCAGAGCTCGAGAACTTAACCACTATGCCACTGGGCTGGCCCCCCATTATACCTTTTTTACAAAAAAACCACCTCATTACTTTGGTAAAAATGATAATTATCCATAATTTACATTATCCATAACGGAAATATTTCAGAAAAGTGCAATTTTTTTTGAAAAGCTAACTTCAAATCCCAATCTCAAGAAAAACCTACCGTTAACATTTGTTACACACCATTTAAGATACCTCTCTAAGCATTTGCCTACTTAAATGGACTAATGGATGGAGAGAAAAGGAGAGAGAAAAATATATTGAAAATTCCATTTAAACTAAAATACTATGATTTCTTTTAATTTTACAGAAGAAGAAACTAGAGTGAAACAGAAGAAATACCAAATTTCATGTTAATATCTCCTTCCCACAAGACAATAATCTTTCTAGGATTACGAAAATACATTACAAAACATAGTAAAAGGCTGGATTCATTATTTTTAAACTATATGTTTCAGTGTTGGGCTGATCGACACTCTGCTGTGAAAAAGGAAGGTGTTGGTGTGCTCAAGACTTCTCCCATCTCTCTGCTCTGTTCCTTCTCCCTATATCTTTGTCTCCTTAGATTGTGAGCTCCATGAGGGTAAGAATCATGTTCTTATTCAACTGTATGTTTCCAGTAACTAGCGTAGTATATGGCACAAATTGGGTTTTTAATAAATGGTTTCCGAAGAAATGAGTACATAGTTAAGGTTTCCAATTCTCTTACATTAAATTCATTGATCAATTGAGGGGCAAAGGAAGTCACTGTTTTGAAACTGAGGCTGATCGTCTTACACCTAATCCCTAAAAGAAAAGTGATAATAATGGTTAAATTTTGGGAATTTAGAGTACATCATCTCATTTAATCTTCTCAGTCACTCTATGAGATGGGCATTATTATTACCTACATTTCACACATGAAAAAACTAAGACTTACATAGATAAGTATGTAACTTGCTTATGGGTACACGTCTAATTAGTGACAGAGACAACCTTTGGATCTAGATGTTTAAGTAGTGTTTAAGTAGTCAAGCCTAAGCACTTACAGTATAACATCACACACCAACGAAAAGTGGTTAATTGTTCAAATATTTTGTCTAAGTGATCAAAAAAGTGCAAGAGATTAAACTACTACTTTCCTGTTATTTCACATCATTGTAAAGAGGGATATAAGCACAATCTCCTCCTGACCTTTTCCAGGAAACTGTATGAGTAGAATCCTGCCTTTTGGCTATATTTCTTAGTGCTACAGAACAGAAGAGCGCTTACTGCACTTTCCTTACATGAACACTTACTCATTTAAAGCAGAGTAGTGTTGGTCAATGTTGAAACAACCTTATGACAGTTGAAACAGCTTTATTGGGTAAAAGTTCAACAAAAAGCATTGATGAAAATGATGTGAAATGTTTTGGAGATTGGAGAATTCTTACCTGGTATCTGTCTGGTACGCAGCCTTTTAAGATGTAGGGGATGTCATCCATGCACAATCCTACCCCCTCTTCCTCATCCAGCCCCATGGAATCACACAACACAAATGGCAGAGAGTTGCCATCTTTTCCATCTTTAAGAGAATATATCCTGTACTGTAAAACAAAACATATTAAGGGTAAAAGTTCATTCTTCAACTAGCATTCAAGACATGACAATAGGAAGCAACAGAAACTGGTTAATATTTTAACACTCTGGTCCTCAAAAATTTTGGTCTCCAGGTTACCTTCGACTCTTAAAAATTATTGAGGATCCCAAAGATATTTTATTTATGTGGGTTATTTCTATTGATATTTAACATATTAGAAATTAAAATTGAAAAAATTTTAAATATTTCTTAAATCATTTAAAAATACAATTATGGACCTGTTACATGTTAACCTAAATAACATCATTATAAAAAAAAAAAAGTATTTTACAAAAAAAATATTTTAAAAAAGTGGGATTGATTTACTTTTTGCAATTCTCTCTAATGCCTGGAGCTGGATTCTCATATCTGCCTCTGTAGTCAATCTGTTGTGATATGTTGTTTTGATTGAAGTATATGAAGAAAATCTGCCCTCACACATATGTAGAAAATGGAGGGAGTATTTAATTTAACAGCTTTCAGAGAATTGTGGATATTCCTTGTCAGTAATACATCAAAGCTCAACAAGTGATCATTTCTCAAAGGTTAGTTGCAATGTGAAACTGTGACATTCTTATCCTCTTACATTAAATTCATTGATCTGTCTTACACTTCGTGTATATCTTTTATCCACGCGTGATTTTGTAATGACCGATGCATTGGTCATTTGAAAATATTCGTCCACTGGCTTATCTGAATCTTCCAGATATTGGCACATTTCATTGTACAATATTAAAATATCATATTTGTTAATACCACCATTCATCTCATCAGATAAGTCTTTAAGTATTGGGAAGTTACCAAGCTCACAGTGGTGGATACAAGTTTCCCAAAACTCTGATTTTTTTTAAAAGCTCATATTCTATCATTGGCAACAAACACTGTTGGTTGTTTTTCTTGGAGTGATAGGCTCACTTTATGCGTTTTCCAAAAAATGTCTACCAAATATCCAAATATAAATAAGCAAGCGTGTCGGCTGTCTTTTCAATTAAAAATGATGTTACGTGAGGAAAGTACAGCTCACAACTCAATCGCACCAACGTCTTTGCTTGACAGTCACCACCATACTTTGATATGCATTAGAAGCACTTTATATGCACTTCCCGTTTCATCACACAAAATATTAAAATGATGTGTATGCAAAATTTGAGTTTAAATAAAATCAACAATTGTTACTGATTCATTAAGGACATTCTTAAGTGAAACGCATTTTGTTTATTAGTTTTTACTGCAAGCTCAGGGGTAGGGAGGAATATAGTGACTACTAGCAGTGTTTGGTGACATTGCTTGATTTGTGCTAAGGTGCCAACAGGTAAAACTATGTTTGTATGATCAGTTCAAATGTCAAAACACTAGAAAAGGCAAAAAGCATCTTAGTATTACTATAAAAATAATTCTTAACTCACAGATCCCCTAAAAGGGTCCCAGGGGTCCACAAACCTCACTTTGAGAAGCACTACTTTAACAAACCTTCTTTCCTAGATAAATGCACTCAATCTGATCCCAAGAATATTTTTTGATCAGGAGAACTCTGAAAAATTTTTATTTATTGGTCAAATACATTTTCAACATAGGCACGAGGAAAGATTTGGGAAGAATCACAAAGAAAAGGGTCTCTCAGAGACACCAGACAACCCTTTAATCACAATTCTGCCATTCCAAACCAGGAAGTGGACAACCATTCTATGACCTATTGTAATCTGTGATGGAGTCAAAAGCTCCCATTGGTCCATGAAATGCTTAGGAGTAATCCCATTGGAGATTTTGACCTAAGTGAATGGGAATAACTGGTGCCTCAACATGAAAGGAATTACACAAAGCATTGGAGTTACATGCTTAATTATATTGCAAAATTTCAAGATCAATACGCACATTCATAATTTCATTAACCATTCATTTCCTTTACAATTTCAATTCTTCAAAGAGAAGGGTCTCTGAGCAATAGAATATTCTGTTTCCCTCACAAATATTCTGTTCTATATTCCTTCAGTTTATATGGTATTTGCATTTCATGTGGAGTTCAGGATCTACATCTTCTCTTAAAACAATGCTTTGGAGTTTTCAACATAAAAGGAAGGGAGAGGAATTTTGTCCTGATAAGTACCTCTATTATAGCATCTATCACACTGAATAGTACTTATATGTTTATTGCCTACATTGGTCTCTGAGATCTCTGAGCAAAGGGACCAAGTATTATTTGTATTTAGGTCTCTATTGCCAACATAATATTTAGCAAGCAGAAACATTTTAATCAATGCTTAGTGTATTGAATTGCTGTTGCAGTATCTTGCCTTGGCTTCTGAGACTAGGCTGATATATCAAAATAAAGCCACTCAGGTGGATAGAATCTGGTAGATAGAATGGCCAACATCAAAAAGCAAGATGTGATTCTTGAAAGTTCTAGAAAATTCTTTCAGTTATTAAATGTGAGACAAAACTAAAATGAGCCATCACTGTCTTATGCTAAATTTTGCACTGACAATGTACAACGTGTTCCCCACCAGAAGATAACAATATTAGGTTGTAGCAATCATAGAAAAACCCAGCTTGATTATGAAATTTTATATTCATTTTCTTTATTTTTTTTGTTTAATTGTATGATAACATTGACAAGCATAGAATGGAAGAGAGTTTCCAGATAAATGTTGCACTGTAATTTGTAGATCTTTAGAGTAACAGTTTAAAAAAGAATGTTAGTACTTATTTTCTTAAATATATTTGTTTACAAATAAGATACGGTTTGTAGGAGTATTGATAGATTTGCTCTTTGAAAGTTGACCCACCAAAGTGAATCGCTATTTTGGTTTTCATTATCATTTCTTATAGAATGGTCTTATATAATGGAAAATTATTGTATTACATAAATCTCATTATTTTATTATAAAAAAGACAAAATCATTTCAATCCAGGTAGAACCATGTGGGGAACGAATAAAAATATACATCAAATATAATGGACTTAGATTTCCACAAAGTTTTTAAAAGTTTGTTGCTGTTTTTTACAGATGCCAAAAAGCATTCTTCATAAAACTACTTCTTGCATCCATAAAAATGGAAAGCCTCGGGGGCTGGCCCCGTGGCTTACCGGTTAAGTGCACGCGCTCCGCTACTGGCCGCCCGGGTTCGGATCCTGGGCGCGCACCAACACACCGCTTGTCCGGCCATGCTGAGGCGGCATCCCACATACAGCAACTAGAAGGATGTGCAACTATGACATACAACTATCTACTGGGGCTTTGGGGAAAAAAAAAAAGGAGGAGGATTGGCAATAGATGTTAGCTCAGAGCCAGTCTTCCTCAGCAAAAAGAGGAGGATTGGCATGGATGTTAGCTCAGGGCTGATCTTCCTCAAAAAAAAAAAAAAAAAAAAAATGGAAAGCCTCACTGTATAATATAACTCAAGGAAGGCAATTCTGATTCTGCTTTTGCTCCTGTTTTGTGTTTGATTTGGCATTTAATCGTTTGTAGGTTAGGAGGAGGTTACTGTTCTAAGAGAAAATGGCGAAAAACTTAACACTAATAATTGTAATCTATAAACAAAATCCTCAGGAAATCCTGAAATAACTTACCAGTTCAGTAATGCTGGTGCCATCAGACCCCACTGTGGCTTGGCGAGTCACGTGGCCTTGGAAAACAGACTTCACTGAATTGAAAAAACTGGACTTTCCAGACCCAACTGGACCCAGCAAGAGAATACGAATTTCTGAAACCAAGTCTGCACAGGGTTTGTAGGCTCTGAGCTCTGCTAGCAGCCCATTTCTGTGCCTGTTAAAATGCAATAGTTAAATGCAACAGCCAAACTTCCATAAAGACTAGCTCCGTTATCCTGGAACTTCTTTTCTTCCCTTTTAAAGGTATGTTTTAATTATTTACTTATTATTTTGACATTAACATCTTCTATCAAGTGATTTGAAATGGTTTAAGGTTATGCATTTTGGGCTTGAAGAAAATGCATTTGTCTACAGCTGGCTAAAGTTAAACATTAACCAGCAACCAAATCGTTGTTAAACTATTCGCCTTAGACAACATAAATCTAGTGAAAATATCAACAACACTGAAGAAGAATTACTATTTTCCATAATAATATTATATTAAGAAGAAATAAAAATAAAATATAGGCAACGTATTTACCTAAAAATTGGGAAAGAGGCGCTTTGTTTTTAAAATTTACTGAAGTTCCCAAAAACTTTATTCTCAAGGAAAGGATTCAGAGGAATTATCTAAAATAGTCATCTAGACTCTGTCTGGACAACTTTGAATCTAAATGGTCCAAAGGGAAACATGAAGTCAAACGGTCATCAGGTGGATTTTAAAATTTTCACACTTAGTGGTGGTTTTGTTTTTGCTGTTGTTCTAAATTGTCTTGAACATATTATGTCAATAACATTATAATTCATTTTTATCACTCCAAGTGATACGATTTTTACCTTACTATTTCATTGTCAGCGCCATTTATACAATTGGTCTAAATGAAATGAGTAATAAGTAGTCCAAGAACCTAACTTACTGTGTGGCTCTCGTTATCTTGCGTATGTAGCCTGCATCATCCTTAATTCCTATAGGAAATAAATACAACATAATAATTTTTTAAACTTATTTGGTTAAATGAAGCCAAGTCTAGCTTGTAAATAGGGCATTGAGTCTGGTTGCATAACCCAGGGCTAAGCTGTTCAGTTAGGAGTTAGGTTTGGCAGCGTAATGAGAAGAAGATGAGAGAAAATTATTTTCCCTGCACATTAACTCGCTCTGGAAACTCTCACATAGCTAGGTCTAGAGGTCCTAGGGCTGACGCAAAAGGGGTCTTGTGTCAAAACAGACCTGCTGTGACAGTGAGGCCTCGCTCCGTCTTCCTTTCTCTCTCCATCTCCATCTCTATCTCTGTCTCTCCACTTATACTTCTCAACTTACTTTGCTCAAAGCTGCCTATACTTTCCGAGTAATAACCTCATAATCCTTATGCCTCCGAGGTTTCATTTTGGAGTTTATGAAAGAGAAATTTGATGGCATGAAATTCGATTTTTCGTCTCATTTTTCCCTGTTCTTGTAGATCAATTATGACCTACCAAACACAAAGACTAGAACAGAATGTAGGATTATCTAATTTAACATACCTTCAACTCGAAAAACTTCCCATCCCGAATACATCAAGCGAGAGGATAAATTTAATTCTAATTTTTTCCTTAACAAAGTATGTATAGAAAGTATGGACTTGCTTGGAATTACACAGAAAATCGCATCATCAGAGGAATAAAATGTCAGTCGTTCATCAGTAATTTTCAGTGCTGTACTTAAAAATGCAATTGTCATTTTAGTTGATTCATTCTTTTGAAAGGAAAAATAGAAGGAAGCACTTGGCTTTCTAAAATCTTGGTGCATGACAGGAAAATGCCCAAGCATGAAGGCCCCAACAATATAGTTATGAAAGTAAATCACTGTTATAGTGGGTCCCTGATGAACACACTTATCAAGCATCTTTTCAGTGCTATTTCCATGGACACTAGACTTATAAAGAAGTCCCAGGGAAACGTTTCCAAGCAGGTTTTGCAGACTCCTTTCCTCTTTCCATGTCAAGCTGGTTGTCACTGCCATTGTTCTGTATCTATTGGAAAAACAATAACAGGTTGAGAGGCTAGTATATCATAGTGGTTTAAAGCACAGATGTCTGCTTTTAGTTCCAGTGAGTTACTTTTTTCTCTGACCCAATTAAAACATGTCATTTGGATTATAAGGAAAAAAAAACCCCACATATAGAAATGGAACAAAAATAAGTACATATAAAAAAGTAGATAATTTAGAAATGAAAAATATATTAAATTTTTTAAGTCAGTAGACAAAATAAAGTACAGAATGGATAAAAAATAAAGAAAATTAATAAATTAGAATAAGGATCAGCAAACTTTTTCTTAATGATGGATAGTAAACATTTTAGACTTTGTGGGCCATATGGTCTGTGTCACAATTAGTAAACTTTGCCAATATAATGCAAAAGCAGCTATAGACAATATGTAAACAAATGGGCATGACTGTGTTCCAATAAAACGTTTTTTACAAAAAAAGGCAGCAGGCACAGAGGCCATAGTTTGCCAACTCATGAATTAGAAGACAGAAATGAGGAATTTGTACAGAAAACAGCTCACAAAGAAAGAAATTGAAATATGAAAGGAGTTAACAGATATGGAGGTCCTACAGTGGCAGAATAGATTATTAGCCATTGTGCCAATTCTTTCAATGAGAAAAATTAGAAATGCAGGATAAACTGTAAAATATATATATTTGAAAGCATTGGAGAGCTAGCAAAGCAATAAATAATTATGTTAGTGGGTAAGATTTAGAAAAGAAGTGACAACAGAGAGGTAAGCCTGGCATTTAGGAGCACATTTCCCTGAGGTGCATCTGTTAACTTTAGAAGAGGTACCTGAGATGCTGAGAAGTTAAGCAAGCTGTTGCTAGACTCATAGAGCTTGGGGAATATAGTGCATCAAGGAAGCTGCCTTGGAAAGCCTCCCCCCAGGCTATTGGTTAGGATTCTGAAGAGCTAAAGGGAAGAAACAAGAGTGGATTGGAAGTAGACTTAATTCCATCTTCTAGTAATTTCAGTGTAGGATTGGGTTGAGAGGATTGCTAGTGCACCTAGTTGCATGGCAGATGCAAAATAAATCTTGTCTAGATGAATAAAACATTTTCCAGCTTCAAATTATCTCTATATTTCTTTTATATTCAATGCCTCACACTCATCATAAACACAGGGGAGCATACAGCATATGATAGAAAATCAAGAGAAAAAACAGAAAATAGAAACAAACCCATACTGATAATGGAGTTACCCACAGAGATTTTTAAATAACTATGCTTGCTATGTTCAAATAATTAAAAGATAAGATTGAATGGCTGGCAGTAAAATGAAAAAAAATAAAAAGGATAAAAAGAAATTCTGGACTTAAAATATATAAGCATCTGAAGTTAAAAATTGAAAGATACATTTAACTGCAGGTTAAAAACTTGAAGGAAGAATTAGCAAGAAGAAAATACTTCAAACTGAAGCAATGAGACAAAAAGAGGATGAAGAAGAGGAAAGGACAAAAGAAACTAGAAGGTAGAGTAAAATTGGCTAACACTTGTGAAATTGGAGTCTAATAGTAAAAGAAAGAAAGAATAGGGCAGATATTGAAGTAATCCCACAAACCTCAAAAAGCAAGCAAGTCTCAAAACATTTCAAAGTACTATAATTTTGAACAAGAATACAAACTAGAAGTTAGAAAAAAGATGATAATAGATCCTCCCATTCATTAGAAAATAAAGAAATATACTTCTAAACAATCCATTGATCAAATAAGAAATCTTAATGAAATTTAGGAAATCAAATTAAATGATCATAAAATGTTATTGTCAAAACTTTTAGAATGAAGCTAAAACAGGCTATAAAAGTGTATGTCCTGGGGCCAGCCCTGTGGGGAAGTGGTTAAGTGCATGCGCTCTGCTGCTGGCAGCCCAGGTTCAGATCCCGGGCGCACACCAATGCACCACTTGTCAGGCCATGCTGTGGCAGATTCCCACATAAAGTGCAGGAAGATCAGAACAGATGTTAGCTCAGGGCCAGTCTTACTCAGCAAAAAGAGAAGGATTGGCATAGATGTTAGCTCAGGGCTGATCTTCCTCACAAAAAAAAAAAAAAAATGTACATCCCTAAACACATGTATTAGAAAAGAAGAAAGGCTGAATCTGAATGATATAAGCTTCAACTTCAAAAATTTAGGAAAAAATGCTAATTAAACCCAAAGGAAGTAGAAGAAATTAAGTAATAACAGTAAAAGCAAAAATTAATGGAACAAAAACTAGTATACAAAGGGAAGATCAACAAAACCAATTAATTTTTCAAAAGGATTAATAAAATTGGTAAACATTACTGACACTAATAAAGAAAAAATAAAGAAGGAGGGGTAAATAATATACCAAAATCAAGAACATAGAAAAGAACATCAGTACATATGCTACAAACAATAAAAATATTGTTTAATCTGAACAATTTTAAAACAATAAATTTGAAAATAGATGAAATGAGTAAATTCTGAGAAAAACAAAACTTATCAAAACTGACACAAAAATAAATAGAAAAGTTGAATAATTTCATAAATATTTTAAAAAAACAAAATACATCATTTAAGACTTCCAATGAATAGAACTCAAGGATAAAAGAGTCTAACAGCTGAATTTGACCAAACTTTGAGGAATAAACAATATACTCTTAAACAAACTCTTCCAGAGAATAATTTTGATACCAACACATAACACACACAACACATTTATAAAAAAGGAAAATTATGGACTAATCTCACTCATAAATATAGATGCAAAAATCCTCAGCAAAATATAAACAAACTAAAATAAAAAAGAAAGAAAGATAATAGTGAGCAAAATGGTGGAATAGGAAGATCCACACCCTCCTTCACCCCACAGAAACAAGGGCTCAACAATATATGGACCAATTCCCTTTGTGAAAAATCCAGAAACCAATTAAGAGAGTCCTGTGCTACAGGCAAGCACAAAACCAGCCACATCAAAGCCAATAGGAAAATTTATGGCACCTACACTTTTGCTATTTACCTACCCATGGCACTGATGAGACCTAGAATGTTATAGATACCTGAAGGCCTCAAGAACAAAAAAAAATGCTGGGCATGTGCTACTGCTCCAGAGAATCTGTGGTATAGCAGACAGACACCAGAAGGAAGAAGATAAAACGAGCTTCTGAAAAAAAGAAATTGGCAAATTTCTGCAATTAGGAATTTATATTCACAAGTCTAGAGAAAATGCATACACAGAAAAGATTTGAGAGGCTCCCAGATTCTAAAGCAGGGCTAATTAGTAAAGGTCTTTCCCTGTACAAAGCCAGTCCACATAGACTGCAAGAACTGGTTGTTTCTTCAAATGTAACAATACTAAAACAAAGCTAAAAGGAACATGAAGAAACAAAAAAACATGGTCCAATCAAAGGACCAAAATAAATCCCCAGAAACCAACAAGGTATATGAATTACCTCATAAAAAAATTCAAAATAACCATCATAAAGATGCTCAATGATCTCAGGAAAATGATGCATGAACAAAATAAGAATTTCCACAAACAGAAAATATATTTTTTTAAAAACACAGAAATTTTGAAGCTGAAGAATACAATAACTGACCTGAAAAATGCACTACAGAGTTCAACAGCAGATTTGATTAAGCAGAAGATTAAGTGAACTCAAAGATGGCTCACTTGAAATCACCCAGAGGAACAAAAAGAGAAAAGAATGAACAAGAGGCAAGAAAACCTGAGGGACTTATAGGACATCATCATATGACTCAATATACTCATTATGAGAGTCCCAGGAACAGAGAGCAGTTGGGCAACAAGCTTATCTAAAGAAATAATGTCCTAAAACTTCCCAAATACAGGGAGGGAAATAGGCATCCAGATTCAAAGAGCCCAATAGAATTTATATAGGATAAATCTAAAGAAGTCCACACAAAGACACATTATTATCTAATTATCAAAACTCAAAGACAAAAAAGAGAATTTTAAAGCAGAAAGTGAAAAATGACTCATCACATACAAGAGAATCCCCATAAGACAACCAGCAGATTTCCTAGCAGAAACCTTTCAGGCAAGAAGAGAGTGGGATTATATATTCCAAGTACTAAAAGAAAAAAATGCCAACCAAGAATATTATATCTGGAAAAACCATCCTTCAAAAATGAAGGAGAGATAAAGACTTTCCCAGATAAACAAAAGCTGAAGGAGTTCATCACAACTAGACCTGAATTAGAAGAAACTATCAAGGGACTTCTTGAAGTTGAGTGAAAGGATGCTAAACAAAATCAAACTGAATTCAACAACATATTAAAAAGATCATACCCTATGACCAAGTGTGACTTATCCCTGGGATGCAAGGATAGTTCAACAAATCAGTAAATGTGATACACCATACTAATGGAATGAAGGATAAAAATCACATAATCATCTTGATAGATGCAGAAAAAGAATTTGACAAAATTCAACATCACTTTGTGATAAAAATTCTCAACAAACTGGGAATAAAAGAAAATTACCTCAATGTAATAAGTTCATATATAAAATCTCACAGCTTTTCCTCTACGATCAAGAATAAGGCAAGATTGTCCACTCTTGCCACTTCTATTCAACATAGTACTAGAAGTCCTAACCAGATCAATTAGGCAAGAAAAATAACAATAAAAAGCATTCAAATCAGAAAGAAAGAAAGAAGTGATTTCTGTTCACAGATGACATGATCTTTAATGTAGAAAATCCTATTTTGCAAAAATATGACATCGCTGAAAAAAACATAAGCAATCTAATGTTGAAAGTCGGAACCACCTCTAGGTAGTTGCTCAAGCAGTATCTGACAGTTGTCACTATAATTCTCTCAAAAATGTTAAAATATGCCTTGGCACTCTTGTGAGTTTGCTATGGTTATAGTTTGCGTACTGTAAGATCAGGGACGATGCCTAAGAACACATAAAGCACTAAATATTACAGAAAAGTTTGATAAAAATTACACTACATTCAAATTAAGAACTTCCATCCATCAAAAGGTACAGGTAGAGAAAAAGCACATTATGTGAGGGAAAATATATTTGCAACCCACTCAACTAATCATCAAATACACATATTTAGAATATGTCTGTGAGTATGTGTGTCTGTGCATAATACAACTGTAAATCAACTAAAAAAA